CTCTCAATTTGCTGCAGGTCAAGAAGGATTTCTGACAGCCAGTAGTTTAAATAATATGAACTCTCTATGGAGGTAGATAGCAGTATTCCAGTATTTGAGAAGCCGCCACAAAGAAGAGGAGGGGGGGGGTCAAATTTATTTTCCAAAGCATCAGAGGGCAGGACAAGAAACAACGGATGGAAACTAATCAAGGAGAGAAGCAATGTGGAATTGAGAAACTTCCTAACAGTGAGGGCAATTAACCAATGGAACAGCTTGCCTTCAGATGTTCTGGGTGCTTCATCACAGGAGGTATTTCAGAAGAGACTGGACAGTCGCTTGTCTGAAATAGTATAGGATCTTCTGCTTGAGCAGGGGGCTGGACTAGAAGACCTCTAGGGTCCCTTCCAGCTCTATTCTGAATCTGATTCTATTATATCACAATGATTATTTGGAAGCAAAGAGAGCTTTGGATAACCTGGAGTGTCTGGAAAAATTACCTAATGTTTAGCAATCTGGTACATTCCAACTTTTATTTTAAAAAATATAGCTCTTGCAAGTCTGAAATCAGCTGGCATCTGCTCTACACAGTAGTAGCTGCTACTATTACATAGGGTGAATTGCATCCTGTCAGCTGGCAATGCTGGGAATTGCAGAACTAAGAGATTTGAAGATACTAGGAAATGAGGAAAGCTCAACAAAATCCTTCTAGCAAACATGAAAATATGTGCAGCTAGAATTCACTGAATTAAATGAAAAGAGTACTTTCCACCATTTTCATATATTTGCTGGGGGTGGGGGGGAGCCTTTATGAGAAGCATGAATGAATGGATTCCTTATTAGAGCTACTGGCCTTGAAATTCTACAAGGCTCAAAATGCTTAGACAATAAACAACACGCAACAAAACAAAAATAAGTATAGGTACATAAGCACGGCCCTGCTGGAACAGACTCCTTGCCCATATAGTCTAACAGTCTGATTTCATAGTAGCCAACCAATAGCAGAAGGAAGCCCGCTAATTTGCCAGCAATGTATAATTAGCGGGAGGCTGTTGGCTGCAGACACGGAGAGAACTGGGCTGCCTATTTTGCACACAATGTTGTTCTCAAGTGCACTCTTTTTAGAACAGATTTTTTTAAAAAATAAATAAAGTGGACTTAAGAAAATATCTCTAAAATATCGAGGCATCTGCCAACTGATGAGTTTGCCTGGCTACAAAGTGCACGTCAGACTCACATTTTAAGTCAAATCATCTTGGACAAATCATTATTATTTTTATTATTATTAGATTAGTACCCCACCATTATTATTATTATTTGTAGATCTCAAGATACTGTACATAATGTTCCTTTGTCCTATTGCCGCCACAACAACAACCCTATGTGGATGGCAGGGCTAAGCGAGAACGACAGGTCCAAAGTCACCAGATGTCGAAGGGAGGACTAGAGCTCACGGTCTTCTGATTTCTAATCCTACACTAATATTTTAATTGCTACATACAATCGGCTCTCAAATTTTGTCATTCTACGTCCGAGATATCTTGTGGTAAGAAATGATAAACATGAAAAAGCACACAGTCTGAATAGTTAAAAGGTAAAACACTTACCAAAACCTGCAATATCCAAAACCCCAATGAAAAAAGACGACGTCTCAAATGGGAAACATTGATTTACTCTGTTGACCACATGGTCAAAGAGGTGACTGTAGACAGTTTTTGCCAAAGCATCACGTGCATTATTTGCTTGTTCTACTTTTAATGGAACCCTGGAGGAGAAAAAAGTATTATAATTACTATCAATTTGTTCCATATTTGTGAGGACAACAAGGGAGATTACAATAATATGGACAAAATTTAAATAAACTAAAATAGAAACAGCATTAAATATAACCATATGGGATTCCTGAAATATAGGTTTTTGGCAGATGACAAACTTCCTCCTAAACACCAGAAGAAAAACAATGAAACTACAAGGGAAGAATTGCATGAGAAACTAATGGGAGGTCTTGTCTTTTTAGCCTTAGCAATATGTCAGAGAGCAGCAAAATTGCCATACTATTAATCAACCAAGTTCCTAATGAAGTTATATAGTAAGAAAACAGACTAAATGATACCTAATTGTTTATAACCACAATCATACAACTGGAAATATGCTAGATGCAAAAGGTAACTTATTAAAGGTGTGCAAATCAGATTGAATTGAGTATCCCAATCGATTTGGAAAATCAGTTTGATTTATTCTGGATATTTGAATCAGTTCAGGCCAAATCCTACATAATGGAATTTGAATGCATTTGCATAAAACACATGCCAGGGAGTATCAAAATTGGTCCAGCTGGATTCAGAGAGTTGAACATAGGAGAAGTCCATAAAACATAGAGGTCTGCTGGTTTTATAACCAGGCTGGGCTTATGTAAAGTACCAATGTCACACTGGCCATCCATGTTCACAGCATCCTGAATGACTTGTGGATACTCCCAACACTGGAGGTTTTTAAGAAGAAATTGGACAACCATTTGTCTGAAATGGTATAGGGTTTCCTGCCTGAGCAGGGAGTTGGACTAGAAGACCTCCAAGGTCCCTTCCAACTCTGTTATTCTGTTCAGTAGTTGCAGAAGAACTATGGAAAAGTATGACTATCATTGTAAGAACTGGGCTACATGTTTATGTAAATAGAACTTTCTCATATCCAGACTATCTGTATTGTGTGGATGTGTGTGGATGGATGGATGGATGGATGGATGGATGGATGGATGGATGGATGGATGGATGGATGGATGGATGGATGGAT